TCTATGTTGCAGTTTCATCCTTTGTAAAAAGAAGATATAATAGTGCTGACATCACAATGGTGATGATTACATGAGCATGAATTTATTGCAAATGGCGTGTAATGACTGACATAGAGCAATTTTCAACAAGTGTTCCTGGTAGTATCTGTGGTCAGTATACTGATAGTTGCTATGGTGACTTGTAGTCACAGACTGGCAAAATTACTGGTAGCTTTGTGATGATCAATTCTGGGTATTTGGCAGAACTTAGACTACATTCAAAGTGCCTAATCACCTTATATTCGTTGATCATAGCTAATATGTGTACAATTAATTTTTTAGTAGATGGCAAGCAAGATATAGCCATCTGAGATCAGCTGGAAATCACATATCAGGCAGAAGGGAAAATTGTTGCCAGAGGAAAATCATTTGACCTCATAAATTCACAATGGGTTAGCAGAAAGGAACAGGAACAAGGATCTCATATCATTAACAAATCAAGTCATGTAAGGGAAAATTAGGACACTATTTCTTATCTGAAGATGAAAACTTCCTCACTATTCTTTAGGATTCGGTATTAAATTTAATTATTTCATTAGGGTGTCTACCTCAGAACTTAGATTCAACTTAGCTGTATGTATTGAAAGTCCAGCCAAAAAACAAAAAGACATATTTTTCTTCTAAGAAACGTCTTAGGATTGGTAGAAGACCAAAGATTCAGTCCTATGACAGTATTAATTTTCAGGAATTTATTTATTTATCTGGACTTGTTTTACCAGTGTATTATACTATTCTTACAAGCTTCCTACTGAATTTCATTTAGGTGCTATGCTTCCATACTACATAACCATACTACAGGCAGGAAGAAATGGGAATGGTAACTGGTAAAATACATGTGCTAGCTGTACTATTTGTCAGGAAAGCAATATCTTTCCTGGGAACTACAGCTGGCCAACACTGACCCACCTACATCAAGCAGACTCTTGTCTGACAGAATTATGACACTGTCCTCTAGCTGTTCCCCTGCCTCGTGTCTTGGCCCTGCAATCTCTTACCAAGGAAACTGGTAAGCATTTGTTTCCTACAAAAATAATGTACTGAATATTTCAGGCTTTGTAAGACATATTTCTTGAAGGCCTCCTTCCTCCAAGCTCTTCAGATCTGCTCCTGCAGTACCCCAACTACCACAGGCAACACTGGAATAAACAAGTGAAGCTACACCTCAGTAAAACCTTACAAAATCAGACAGCAGTCCAGGTATCCCTCTCTTGCCATTGCTGATCCCAATTCTATAATATTAATCACTTTCAATATCCAAAATCAGTTAATATAAGAGTTTTCAATCTGAAGCGTGTGACATGAAGTACAATTCTTCCTCCACTGACTGGCACATAACCTTCTAGACTTCATATTACAAAGTTCATTATAATATGTTATGATAATGTTTATGTGTTTGATTTTCCTCAATAATAAGCTTGTTCACACACTCGAATATACTAATGAAAAATAATTTCCAATATTCAGTCTAGGACTTGCCATAAAATTTCTCAAGTAATTTAATTTTGCCTGGAACCACAGTAGGGGACATTTAAAACTTATTTTGTATTATCCTTTTTCTCTACAGCTTTTAGATATTAAATTCCTCATCTTCAACCATACTTGTCCAAGTATATTAGCTCTTCCCCATTCTCACCTTCCTCCCCAAGTACTAAATGAAGATGTTAAAATGTTGTGAATTTTTTTCCTCCAAATCCACAGCCTTTGCTGCAATAATTCCTGTAGGCTTCATGATTGTTAGTTAGACAATATTGTATACTTTTGCATTCTTAACAGTGCCATTTTACATTCAATGTTTTGATTATATAACTATAAAGCTATTTCAGGGCTCATTGCAGATAACTTTAGTCTTCTTCTAAATCCATGTTCTGATTCATTTCAACTGTTGTCATTTCCAACTCTTCTATGATTTTCTGTCAGGGAAAGGATGACTGAACTTTCAAGGATCCCCTTCCAGGATTTTTTTTTCCCTCACAGATGTATCACATTTTGAATGAACAAAGGATTTAAGTTTTCATTTTTTCCTTTGTAGACTATACATGAGATTCAATTATCTACCAAATTCCAATATTTCAAACAACATATATAATGTGAATGTGTTTTTTTCTTAAATGACAATTTCAAAAATTTCAAAAGTCTATGGAGTTTTCTCTTTATCTTTAGTCTTTAGAAACTTTGCCAAGGTTTATCTAAAGTTGATCCTTATTCTATATATCCTTCCTTGAACTCAGAAATTCTATTTGACTTCTAAATCAGAGTATTTTGCACCCCAAAATGAAATTTTATTTTCCTCTTCTGCATTATGCATCTGTTCTTTGTTTTCTGGGAACCTGTGCTGCTAACATGATAGGTTGAATAAACACACTCTCTAAGTCTTCCTTCTTCTTCCCACAATTGCAAATTGAAAATTGTGGGTTTCCATAGTAGAAAATATGGATTTTTTTAAAAAAAATATCTTGCTTTTTGATTCTTCTTTAGCTACTTCTTTTGGTGTGATATATTAAAAAAAAACAAGAAGATATTTTGGTCTAATTGGTGACCATTCATGTTTTCAGTGCTTATATACTTTTTTGTTGTTGTTGTTTTATTATTTATTTATTTAAAATATAGCTACAGTGATGCTTTGAATCAGTACAATTCACAAGAGCTACATTACAGAACCAGACCAGATATTTATCAACGGAAGGATAGATTTAAAAATGTGGTGTGTGTACACAATGGAGTTTTAGTTAGCTGTAAAGAAGAATGCAATCATGGTATTTGTATGTGAATGGGTGGAACTGAAGAATTTCCTGCTAAATGAAACAAACTAGACTGAGAAAATCAAGAATCAAATGTTTTCTCTCGAATTTGGAAGCTGGAACAAAATAAAGGGAAATCTGTGTGTGTGTGTGTGTGTGTGTGTGTGTCTGTGTGTGTGTGTGTGTCTGTGTGCACGCTCGCGTGAATGCACATGTGTCAGGTCAGTGAGGGTCCCTGAAGAGTAGAGGAAGGGTTTGTGGAGAGTCAGAAAAAGAGAAGAACCACAGAATAGAACTGACCAAATTATCCTATGTACATATATGACATACCACAGTAAATTTCACCTTTACATATATCTTTAATGCAATAATTTAAAAAAACACTATAAATAAGTAGAAGAATGAAGAGTTGAATAAAGGAACGAGGGAATAAGGGGTAGAGGAAGACAGGGAAAGTTAAAATACTGGGGACTATATTGAAATAAAATATTTTTCATGCTTGTATGATTATGTCAAACAAAACAAAATATTATGTTTAACACTGAGATAATAATTTAAAAAATACAAGAATGCATGATTTGCGGTAAAAAATATCTGTATTGTTAAGTACTTAAAATGTACTGTAGTGTACTTAAAATATCTGTAGTGTTCTTATTACTTACTCTTCTTTTGAAACAGTCTTTCTTTAATGAATGTTCTGTTAGCTCTCTCTTGTGCATCCACCTAGGGTTACCTTGCTCTTTAAGGTCTTACCCACCTCTTGGAATTAACCTACCAGTGGTATTCTTAAGTCATTGTACCATAGAGCTCTATGGGTAGGGCACAGGAAATTCTGTTCTTGGGTTTCCACACAAACTCTCACTCACTAGGTGAGTAGTGTTCAGTCTTTTAATTCTCTCTCAAATCTCCTTGGAAACTTTCCACCAGGATTGCTGAGTCTGATCCCTGTTTTCTATCTACTATGGTCCAGAGGGAACCGTGTTGGCAATTGCTTTCTCCCCTGAGGCTCTGGCTGACATGAAGACCTAAGTCTCTCTCTTCTCTTGACTTCCCCCAACAGCTACAGGACATACTTGGCACTCTCGAAAGAACAAAATTGGGCTGAGGTTTAAAGGTAGGGAAGGGAAGAAAGTCTTAGTTTCATTACATAATTTCATGTAAATATTCAAATTCATAGAGTGATTTAGAGACTTTAAAATACTTAATTTAAAATAATGTTCATATATGTGAATTGAAATTAAATGTCTAAAATTTTTATTAAAAATGCATTCTAAATCTAAGCTTAGAGTCTTACAAAGATAGTGAGAAATTATTATTCTAGTTAAGTTTTTGTTATTGATGCTGCCACTTTTATTGTCAGTGCTACGGATTAACCCAGGGACTCATGTAGGTCAGGCAGGACTCACAAGCCCCATGATAGCTGATTTATTTTAATTACCCTTAGAAAACTCATCTATTAGGTAAAAATAAAATGGCTAAACCACAAAAAGCTGTGAGTGATGGGAATGCTCCAGATAATCAGAGACTCTAAACCTGAATCATGATACACCATCTGCAATACTGTTTTTGCTTTCCGGTAAAACTGGAATTCATAACTCCTTGGCTATTTCCTAGATATCTGAATTTGAGGAAGTGACTTAAGTAATCTATCCCAGTTTGCATATTTTAAAAATTCAAAATTTTTCATAGGATTGTTGTATATTTTGCAACATATGTTAAGTAGATGCTTAGGAATCTCTTAAACTTTTACTTATTAATGTAGTGACTACCTCTACTACTAATGCTATTATAATTTATTCATGAGCTTAAGCTTAAAAGACATGAAGCCATGAATTTGAAACACAACATGGTCTTTTTTCTAATAAAAATGTTGTACTGAATTTGTTGGTATATGCTTAATATTAGAAAAAAAATGCATAACCAAAATACCATAGAAGTTAAGCAAGAATTGTAGCTGTTAACCAATTTATGACTTTTTCCTTGAGATCAAACCGTAGCTTATATTTACATCCTCATAAATTAATTCATTAATATATGATTGACTCAGTATTCTTTAATATTTTATACAACAGAAAAAATATTCAAACATTTTGAAACTTTTCCACAGTTCTACATTCACAGATACACACAAACACACATGCACAAACACAGAGAGATTAAATACTGGACTTTTGTAGATGATTTTTGGATTAACTCTTCAAGTATAGAAATAGTCTTCCTTACCCATATCTGACATTTCAGGCACAGTCACAATGTAAGGTCCATCTGTGAACTTTGGAGCATTGTCGTTGATATCTTGCACTTTGATGATGAACTCAGATTCAGGTTCCAGAGGCTTGTTTGTCCGTCTGTCAATAGCCTGGGCATGAAGCACATAGTGTGTCTTCTGCTCTCTGTCTAGGCTTTTGGTTGAGTGGATATCCCCCGTGGTATCATCAATGATAAATATAGTCCCAGCACCTTCTCCAGTAAGGATGTACTTGACAGACCCATCACCTTTGTCAGAATTGGAGTGCAGCTGCAAAATACACATGGGCAAATTAGTAGGCAATTGCATTCCCACCTTTGGTCTCCTTCTTTGAAAATTTCCCATGTACAATTTGATACATATTGTAAGATTTTTTTTTTCTCTCTACAGTGTCTTGCATATGGCTGTTTTTCATTTTCTTGAATATTTTGTCTAGTTGGTATTCATATGATTATCATGATTTCTCATTTACTGGTTTGAGTAAAAGAATAACCCACGTTGTTTTTTCACTAACTGAACATTTTACTAATATAAAGGTGAGAAAAGACACTTTCAGTACATTTCTGTCACCTAGTATACTTGTAAGAATAAAGCAGATTTTGTTTTGTTTTTGGAATGAATTGATATTTGAATCAATTATTAAAATTCTCACAATAAAGGCCCATAATTTGTCATAGAGCTTTAATTTTATAAGTTGAAACAAATTTTAAATATTTTCTAGTATAAATATTTATATTTAGAATGTAAAAATACGAGCAGTAATTTTTTTCTTTAAGAACTGCAAACATTTAACTCAAAAGGTTGCTAGTAGTCTTAAACTGAACCAGTAACTATATCCTAAATTTAGTTAACTTAAAAACATGGATAAATATCACTTACTGAATTAAAATGATAAAAAAATACCTTACTTGGTATTTTTAAAGTAGAAATTTTAGTAAAGAGATCTTCTCTAATAAGGATAATCAATATATTAAGATAATATTAGTCTTTTTTGTTATTTAAAACTATGAATGCTTTTGAGTTGCATATCACTCATGCTTAAAACTCTATTTTAACTTATACCATCAAAATTCAGTTAAATACCTCTGGGAGTGCCAGTACTATATTTCTACCCAGGAATAGTGGAAGTATTTTCTGAAATTTCAAATACATATTTGAAGAATTGTTTCTCCCAAGAGACCTGAGCAGTTATCTTCAGATGAAATTCTCTGGTCACATAACCTCAAGTCCTTACCTTTTGTTCATTTCTAACATTGGAAATTCTGAAACACATAGCCTTATTCGCAAAGCACTTCAGTTTTCTTGCCATAGTGAAGTTAAAATTTTCAAGGTTATTTTAAAGGGTCTGAACTCTTAAAAGTCAGTTGAAATAGAGAATATTTAGAAAAACAAAATAAAATTCAAGAAAAGAATTATTTGTTTTGTAAAAGAAAAAGCAGCCAAAAGAAAATTCATTACAAATCATCAATCATTTTATTTTATTCAATATTGGGGATTGAAACCATTTTATAAATGCCTATGAGCCTTCATATTCTATTTTTGATACAGGAATCTTGCTAAGATGCTGATACTGGCTAGGAACTTGTAGTCCTCCAGACTCAGTCTCCAGACTTTCTGGGTTTTCAGGCTTGCACCTTCCACAAGTTACACAGTAATAATATTTTCATAATTAGTAAGCCAGCTAGCATAATTTTTATTAGTTATGACTAATTTGAACATAGACTGTAATATGATCAGTGAAGTATAATTTAGAAATATTCATATTATTGAATCACTTTAGAAAAATTACAACAAAATATTACAGAGATATATATTGAGTACTATGTCAGTTTTTAATACTACTTAGTTTTAGAGTTTAAGTAATGTGATTGTTTTATTAGTGAATTTTTTCAACTTTTAACTAACATGATTGAAATTTGAAATTATCAGCTTTCAAGTAACACTAATGGAAAACCATTACATTAGCATGTAGTCAATTGATTAAAATTTTATATAATTTTGATAATAACCATATGTGAAGCAGCAAATTGATCTACTCTCAGGATTCCCACTCCTTCACCACATCCTCTCTCAAATGTTCAGTTCTGTTTGAGCATATGCTTTGCCACAGAGGTGGAAGCCAAGGGAAAGATTGGTTATATCATCTTATTTGTTTAATAAGAGGTTTTCAAAGACTTTGGAGGAGCCCATGTTTGTATTAAGTTTTATAAGACAAAAAATGATGAAAGAATAAATGAATGAAATGAACATTTTTTATTAGTAGAAGTAATGGTAGAAAACTTGAGAGGTGGAGAGAAAACTGGGGATACCAATAATCAAATCTATAAATAACTACAATAGACACCTGAAGTCTTTGAGTATGTTCAGGAATGAGAAACAGATGAAAGGGGTTAGATCATGGAAATTAGAAATGACCCTGATACAGTTTTGGTACTGATTTTGTAAAAAAATTATAAGTTTAACTAGCTACTAAATTATTTGAGAGATACCCATGGATTTTTATAATAAAAGAAGATAAAATATTTGGAAGATAAGGTTGATCTTATTCATATACAATAAACTCCTTTTAGTAAACAGTTTAGAAATATTATTCAGAGAGTGGTAGCAGAGTCTTAACACACAGTGGTGGGGATATATCTTAAAACACAGTGGTGGGGATGTAGTTTTAGAGTCTTGAGGTCTTGCAGAGTAACTTATAGTTTCATGTTAAAAGACAGATGTTCTAAATTTAGACTTACTGCAAGAAGAGATAATTCTTGTGTGTCTGATTACAGAGTGAAGTGGGGCTAATAAACTGCTCTTTAGAGGACATAAAAGGAAGAAGGGGTGAAGAAAAAAAGAAAGAAAAATGTATCCACCCATGTGAAACAAAATTAAAACTTTTCTGGCATTACCTTAATAAATCACCTTTTTCTTAGTGTTAAGTATTAACAAATGGTCCTTCTAAAGCTAATGCAACTCACATGAGTTCATGTTAGGACATTTTTGATGCACTCTGAACCACAGTAGAATCAGTACCTAAAAATATATTGGTTTCACTTCAATGCACATGTTCTCACTAAAATAATATTATCTTCCTTGGGGAAGGATAATTTTAAAAGCTTAAGGAAATGGTGGCAGAGCCATTAATTTGGAAAGTTGCTCTAAGTTGTAATGTCTATGTTACAAAAACTGGTCACTAAGTTAAAATTATGATATTCTGAACCACACAATTCAAATACACCTTGCTATAAGTAGGGAACTAATATTTACAGTATTCCAGTGAATGACTGAAACAAAGACAAAAACATCATATTAGTAATGCTACTGTTATTATCTTCAATACTTTCTGTATAAGAATGCATATGACACAATGTGCAAAAAATATGTGAAAATTTTAAATACATGGCATTGAAATGTGGTATGCATAACTCATTCTACTATGTGTCATATTTTAAAGTATAATCATACAAAAGAAGAATCAATTAACATTAAGTAATCAATGTGAAGGAAATGCATCAAATAATAAGTCTTTTGGTAACTTATTCATATCAGTCTCCTTGAAGAAAAATAAAACATAATTTTAAGTTTTTTATCAACAATTATGGAAAAATAGCTAAAAATAGGAATAACAAAATACCTCATTCAACCATAAGATGAATGGTAATTGGTTAAAACACAAAAGATTAAGAAATTATATAAAAATAAGGAAATACAGTATTTGTGTAACTAGGAGTACAAAAATACAACGACATTTTTAACTAATTGGCATACACTTTTTGAGAAGGAAGTGAATGAATAATAAAGAGTTGCACGGAACAGACTCTCTTTTTTCCCACTTGCTTTGGCAATATATCCTCTGAACTCAAAAAGGAATGTTAACACCTAACACATAACTGCATAGTGTTGCTTACATTTGAAATTGTCATTTCTTACCCATCAGCTCAACTATCCAGATGTGCTGAATATTTGAGCACTTCGAAATGCAGGCAGTGGCTGAGAATTTCACTACAAGTTATTAAGAAACCTCAAATATTGAGAAATTGATTGCAACTAATATAAACTACATGGAATACATGATTATCTATTTTTATCAGAATAAAATTGTTTTATTTTTCTTCAAGGAGACTGAAACACATTTTATATGTCCACTTTCTTCTTCCTCCTCCTCCTCCTCCTCCTCCTCCTCCTCCTCCTCCTCCTCCTCTTCTTCTTCTTCTTCTTCTTCTTCTTCTTCTTCCTATTATTATTATAATTTAATCTTTAGACAACATTTATAATTTCAACATGTTCGTCTTGAATTTGGAATTTTCCAGCATCAGCCTTGAGAGTAACTGGGATTACCTCATGCCCAGCTGGTACTATTTTGTTTTTGTTCTTTTTAAATATCAGATTATTAAACATGACTCAATTTCCATGAAAATATTGACACAAATCCATTGCCCACACATTAATTTGTGTTATTTCACAAACATTTAACACTTTATTATTACTTTTCATTTTAGCAATTTTTCTTTTCTGGAAAAAAATAAAGCAGTAATTGCATTTCATAATAGAAGGAGGATGATAAAGTTGTAAATGGAATTGATGCTTTGGGAAATTCATTTGGTAATAAAACATAAGGTAATTACTTGATCCAGGAGTTTATTTTTAAAATAAACATTTTTGGAGCACCCTAATGTACCAGTTTTGATATTCAGAACTTAGCTATATCACACACAAAAGGCAAATAAAGATGCCTACGTGGACATAGTCTGCATTCAGTGCAATGATTAGAAACAAAGAATAAGCAGAAGAAATTATAACTTATCTGTAATATTCTAGAAAATTCAAGAGCTAAATTTAATAAGAAGAAGGAGAAAGATATAAAAGAGGAATATTAGAAGTAGCTGGTGTGTTGCACAGAGGTTGTAGCAATAAATATAGGACTAAGGTAGGTAGACTATTGTGCCCTCTAAGATGTGCATGCCTTAATTCAGGGGACCCATGGATATGTTACTTTCCATGGAAACATGGGCTTCACAGGAATTATTAAGTTTAAATTCCTTGAGTTGGAGAAACTCTTCTGGTTTCTTTAAGTATGAGCAATCTGATCAGAAGAGTCCTTGGGGGAGAGTGTGGAAATACATTCTAATTGGTGAGAGAAAGAAAGACAGATGGAAGCTGGAGACATATTCAGGATCTCATTGCTGCCTTGAAATGTAGAGGACATTGTGCACAGACTAAAGAGAGTTCTCTACAAACAGGAAAAGACAAAGGATAAATTCTCCTCTAGAACCCAGAGGTACTGCATAAAATATTGAATCTCTGCCTGATCCTAGATTTTAAAT